GAATAAATAGTTACCGAATATGTATGATTAAAGAAACGTAACAAAAAAAATTACACAGCCACGAAAAAAAAAAAGTTGAATTGTATAAACTAATAAATGCAGTAAAAAAAGCAAAAAAAAAAAATTATAAGTAATTGAATAGTAGAGACCGACCGGACTGTTAATAACATGCTTCTGATGACGGGAAGAACATTTCCCAAAACTCAAAAAAAAAAAAAAAAGTAATAAATAAAAGGAAATTACAATCATAAGGAAGTTATATTTACAAAATACTCCAGATAAAAAATTATATTAGATGATATCTGATCTCATAAAGACTTTATCTTAAACAATATAGTAGATAGAAACTAACACGTTTTATATATCAACAATTCGGATACAGGCAAAATTAAATCTGGTCTAAATTATCAAATAATAAATTAGTTATGTGAGCTATTTCCATTTTAGGCTATTTAAGTGTAACATTAAAAAATGAAACGAGATGAGCAAATTTTTATTTTCATTACAACTCGACGTCTCGGCCTAATCTATAACAAAATAAACAGGAAGATCGATGTGGCTGTTTTGTAGTTTGAATGTTCGTGTTAACAAAAAGGAATGAAAGAAAATTGATTATAGATGTTTGATGTAAAAACTATAAAATTATTAAAATATGTTTAATCAACCTTCTGTTAAGTTGGGTTGGCAATTTAAAAATAAATATTTTTTTTCTATCATTTTATTATCATTATAAGTAATTATAATAAGGTCCAAATAAATAGGTGTGTATATTCATTTATATATTCTGTATCTAAAGGTATCTACGTCCGCGATATCGGAAAATATGAGTCAAATAATGACAAAAAGATTGTTGTTTTTTTTTTATTGATTCCTTCACAATATAATGCGAAAAAAGTAGACTTTGTATGTATTCAATTATTTACTAAAACCTAGAGATACTGTGCGTCACTGATTTAGACCAGATAAATATAACCGATGTTCGTCATCGATGGCAATTAGACTATTACCTCAAATAACAATGGTATCGTTATTTCGAATATTACAAATAAATACAAAATTTTTAATCATCAATAAAATAATCTAAATAGATTTGATTTTGGTTCTCAAATGTATTAGTTTTAAGTAATAAATATTATTTAAAGCTACAAGCGATTACTCGTTTTCTCCAAATCTAACGTGTAATACGTTTACAATTTAATGAAGGATCATGAAAATAGATAATTGACAGTATTAATAGATAAATGACTATTGCGAAGCTAAAAATAGCCGATGAATACAAAACAAACATAGACACCTAGACCAGTAAATACCTTAAGATAACAGAAGAAGCTATAGTCACAAACTAAGTAGTGCTGTTGAACAAAAGCTCGAAATGACATAAACTTGCCTATTTACATATCTAAACAATGCGTAATCCATAGCTTTCCTTGCTTTATTTCGCCAGGATAAAAGATTCTCATTTATGTAAAACACCATCAACAATAAAAAAAAATCTTTAACGGGGAACTGGACATAATTATAAACCTATAAAATATAGCTTATACATGGTGTCTTTGAGGACCGATAAGCGCTTATAATTTTACTATTTATTTAAGTTATAACAACGTTTCGAACTACTTTGCTCATTTGCCAAAATCCAAACAAAAATTCTAGAAATTCTAACATATCTCTATTATGTAAGTTTATTATAATTTTTTTGTAGTTCACATGGACAGTCCATGTTAGACAATAGACTGAGGATGTAGTACCGGATTTCGGGAATTGACATGAATTAAAAGAAATGCGGCGAAGAATGGAGGTTTTTTGTCTTTGTGGACTAGAAATATAATTACATAATACAGATGTATTGGAATTTATAGAATTTTTATGTTATAACTTAAATAAATAATAAAATCATAAGAGCTTATCTATCATACCATATATAAGTAAATCACGTGTCCTTGAAAAACAAACTACTCTAAGTAACTATATTAAAATGTATCATGAACGTAACATAAGCTATAAAATATAATTGCTACTAACTGATTTTATTGAACATTGTAACACGTTTCCATTTACACTACATTATAAAATGGATTTTGACATTAAAACATACAGAGAATAAACATAAAATATTTTGTAAATTGATGAATTGTATTTTTTCCCGCATTTACTACTTTTTTTAAAATAATGAATGGCATAATATAATTTGTCAGTTAGTTGAAGTGTTATTCATAGTACTAAAAACATGATGTTATATTTAGTAAAAGTACCTTATTTTTGTATACTCTTTTGTGATAAAATTACTAATGTATAAATTGTAGTATCTGATGACAAAATTAAAATCTAAATAATATTATTAAGCAGAATTATTTTTAATTTTAAAAAAATATGTTAAGGTATAGCAAATTAGATTAATGATTTAATTATGACACTTTTAAAATAACAAAAATAACACAATAAATGTTTAAATCGCGTTTCTTGACCGCCTAAAGAATCATATTTATTTTGTATAATAAACCCTAACCCTGATATATATATATATATATATATATATATATATATATATATATATATATATATATATATATATATATATAGAGAGAGAGAGAGAGAGAGAGAGAGAGAGGATGTACAAGTAATCCACTATGAATTGTTTTTTCCATAATTTTATAAATTTATTTCATTCGGAATATTTTATTATGAAATCGAAAATTTAATTTTAACTATGTATTTCAATATAAATATTACTAAACACAAATTAGATAAGATATTCATATTATTAAAGAATATTATGTCACAGACAGATAAAATTGCAGTTTTATGGTGAAAAGAAGAAAGGGACAAATTATTCGAAACTAATAAATAAAATAACTTTTTTAATGCTTAATATATGTAAACTGTATAATATTTAATGATTTAGAAATCTAGTATGTAGTTCGCCTATGATTTTTAAAAATAACAAACGGACGAAAATAAGAATGCTTCAATAGTATAATCATTGTAACCGCAAAGGTTAAAACTAAGTGTTATACCGCCTTCTAAGTGGCGTTGCTAACTTTGGAAATTAACGTCCAAACTATAAAAATAATTGACAAGTAGGAAAAAATGCCGTGAAATGTTGGGTGATTTGCGCCCGCAATAAATTATTTATTAGAGCGAATTGAGAACATGCTGTCATTACTGTTTTGTATACCTCCAATCCCAAGGTTATTCTACTCATAAAACATTTCTAACTTATGTCATAAACATCACTACGACTTTTAAAACATTTTAGTCAACGCTAAAATATAGAGGCTAAAATATTTTGTCTAGCAAATTATAATCAATATATATATATATATATATATTTCTATTTTGAATATCACATCAAGGCTATTTACGTCCTGAAAACGTATAACTCTTTAGAAAAAAAAAAAGTATTTTATTTTGATATTTCTTGTATTTAGAAACATTAATATCACAAGTTATGTTTATCAGGTTAATAAAAAAATGTCAAATATACAGATTATTTTAAAGCTGAGTTTTAAATAATTAATTGTTTTAAATCTATTCTTATGTAAATTATAAGATAAGATAATATTTAAGAGTTAAATGTTTACAATACACGTCGGAGCTTGTCTTAGTACGGAAACCTTTAAAAAGCTGAAGGTTATTAAAGGAATTTTCGATTATGTGAGAACTGTTTGAATCCGTTTACAGTTGTGTCACCGACTTCTCAAGCAGTCCTTGACATCTAATAATTTTTTCTCGTCGCCGAGTTGTTAAAATGTGCAAGTAATGAGTTTCTTTTTTTAACGAATTGTTAAACTACCAATAATTTGCGATGCCATAATGTCATAAACATTGTTTAATAATTAAACAAGAAAGACGGTTTGAATTTCGTTTAAATGAGGCAAATACCGCCCGTCATTTAAAAATTATAAGAAAAACATCAATAAGCATTAATGATTTGTTGTTAAATAAAGCCTCAGCGAGGTCGACATAAAAAAAACGAAAAAAAAAAGGCAAATAAATAAAGTTAATTAAAAAAAAATATATTTGGAACAATCTATAGTTGTGATTATTTACCTCAACTCCCAAAATATATGAAATAAAATAGTATCAGGGTTAAAAATTTGAATTATTAAAAAAATATACCACCTTAAATAAACAAGTAATAATTGATGTACAACGATTAATAACGATTGTCAAACATTCCCACGGGTCATGACTGGATTAAGGTTTCATAAAAAATTAGCTTGTACAAGATGTTATTTATGTATACTTATTAATTGAATGAACATTTGTATAATATATTCTGAAGCCATTATTATTTTTTTTTTTTTAATTTGTGAGTCAATAACATCTGACAATCGCTAATTACGTTCTTAAGAATATCGATCGATTTATCTATTCCAACCTTGAAAAAGAACGACAAACTTACAAATAGGAGAAAAACAAGTTGTTTTTTAAAACAGAAATAAGAATACAAGCAGAAAAAAAAAATCGGTGTCGATTAACTGTCTGTTCGACAAGAAGATTTTATTTAAAATAATTAGCGATTTCACATATAAACTGTTTAGACGTCGTCGATATTTATCAATACTCAGTATAATGAATGGAGTCAAAGATGACAACAACGAAGATTATAATTAAACACACTCAGAATCTTAGATGGGGGAAATCGCGAGAGAATTATATGACACAATTATTAAAATTGCTCTAAATATGGTCGGGAAACAAGTATGTAAGGAATTGAGAAAACAGTCTTTCTAAAGTTAATGTTTTTTATAAGTAGGAACCACCAATTTATCTTTCTCATGTAGGCAAGAAAGCAGGAATTATTTCGTTTGTGTGATCTATTTTTACGAAATAAAAATAATCAAATAAGAAGTTGTTTGGGAATCTTTATTTTTTTTTAAAATTAAGTTGCACGCTCTTCAGAATGGATTAGTTATAACAGCTGAGGAATACGATTACAAGAATTTCAACTCTATCAAAGAACAATTTAAGATCATAAGGGTTGGTTTGTCGCTTACCTGCGTCATGAGACGATCCGCTCCTGTTCCTTCCTCATCCTTGAAGATGATGTCCGGGTTGTAGTTGGGGACCAGATCCAAGAACCTGCGGTCGACCCTGGTGATCCTGCCCTCGACGAGCCCGCTGGCGGCGAGGGTGCCCTCGCTGACGTTGGGGACGTGCTGCTTGAAGACGAGAGGGCTGAGAGGAGCGTTTCGCCGGCGGCCGGCCCCCCGGCCCGGGCCGCAGCCCGCCGCCCCCATCAGGCACACGCTCACAGCTAACAGCCAAGCTAGCCACATCACCTTACCCCCATCGGCATGCCCCGACTGCTAGCAAGCCTCTCCCCTAGGCCTCCCCTCCAGGGTTGGTCCCCACTCCTCCACCCGCTTTGATAAAAATATTCCTTATCTCTACCTGCCAGCTACTACAAAATTCAACACCTTTTCCTGACCTGCCCACTGAAAGAAAAATTAGTAAATGTACCAGTTCACTACTAATAACTAAATAAACTCATCTATCATATATAATATATAAAATAAATTATTCGGCTATATCCATCATTAAAATATCAATTATACTTTTGTCCAATAGTTTTGTTTCAATATACCATAATGAATATTCAAATTTGAAAACCACGAACTAATATTTTAAAAAATAAAATAAATGTTGGATAAAAATGTTAATTTATTTTTTTATCTTAATAATTTTTTTTTTGTTTATGTTGAAAGTATTAATAAGTTACATACATATAATTCAATCAATTTTGATATTTTTATTTTATTTTTATCTTGAGCGATTTGGTTGTTTTTTCTCTGTCCCTTAACAATAATAATAAAAGTTTTAGTATAATAATTATTTTGTCTAGTTTCTAGTATATATATGTATATATATATATATATATATATATATATATATATATATATATATATATATATAGAGATATATATATATTACTGACTAATGTTAATACTTTTTTTTTAATGAGCAACATATTAATTTTTCATTTTTTAATTAATATTTTAAGACCACAATTCAATATTCACTTTTCTCTCTTTCTATCAAAGATAAGAATATACATATCTCGATATATATATGAAAACTATCAATATTTTAGTATCTTCCTATTGTTTTCAAACGTAAAAAATATTGAGATAGTATTTTATCAATTTTTACAAGTAGTACTTTATTACAGATTTAGTTACGTAGTTCCTCCGATGTTTCAATATACCATAATGAATATTCAAATTTGAAAACCACGAACTAATATTTTAAAAAATAAAATAAATGTTAGGATAAAAATGTTAATTTATTTTTCTATCTTAATAATTTTTTTTTTTTTTTTTGTTTATGTTGAAAGTATTAATAAGTTACATACATATAATTCATTCAATTTTGATATTTTTATTTTATTTTTATCTTGAGCGATTTGGTTGTCTTTTCTCTGTCCCTTAACAATAATAATAAAAGTTTTAGTATAATAATTATTTTTTCTAGTTTCTAGTACATATATGTATATATATATATTACTGACTAATGTTAATACTTTTTTTTTAATGAGCAACATATTAATTTTTCATTTTTTAATTAATATTTCAAGACCACAATTCAATATTCACTTTTCTCTCTTTCTATCAAAGATAAGAATATACATATCTCGATATATATGAAAACTATCAATATTTTAGTATCTTCCTATTGTTTTCAAACGTAAAAAATATTGAGATAGTATTTTATCTATTTTTACAAGTAGTACTTTATTACAGATTTAGTTACGTAGTTCCTCCGATGCGTCTGAAAAGAAGATGGCCTCGTGTATCTACTTATGTAAATATATTATCAGAGTGCTACCAATGGGTAGTTTCTCAACAAGCGTTTTCATGTAATTGTATTATTACTGTGTGCACATTTACTAGTTGTATTTTTTTATGATACAGTTGTAAATTTCAATGAATAAGAAAAAAAAATTAATGTAGTAATAATTTATTACCAGTTTAGTTATTTAGTATTACATTATTACTAATTTAGTTATTTAGTACTGATTAAGTAATTATGAAGGTAAATTGCATCAGCCTAATTTATATTATCTTTGCTTTCACAAATTGTTAATATAACAAACCAAAATACGTAATTTAAATTAAAATGTTTCTTGCGAAAAGAATTAAAAATATGCAATATAAAGTTTGAAATAAACGTATCCAATAATAAGAAATTTATTTCAAAAAAGAAATATTATACTTAATTTTTGTTTTATCACCACATTAATAGAATACTATAACTTTTTTTTTCTAAAAAAGTAAAGTAAATAATAATCAACAACTATGGTATTTCCTTTCATTCTAATAAGACTAAAGAAAACAATAAAAATCCCTTATTACCAATAAAAAAACTTTTAGTAATTATATTATAAATCAATTGCTATGCAACGTTTCGACCATTGTCAAAAACAGCGTTTATCAACAATTATATTAAAAACATTTTTGATCTTCTTTTGCATAGAATATGAATTTGGTAATAAAAAAGTTTCCTTTTTTTTTAAAGAATAAAATACCAACAAGGATTGATTGACAAAAAGATGTCTTAAGAAAAAACTGGGGTATATTTATTAAAATATAATACCAAAAATAATTTTGTTTTTTTTATTTTATAGGTTGAAATCGGGATATGAAGATACGTTTGGAAATGGCCAAAAACGTTACCCATAAATAGATATGTGATGCTGCTAAAGGTTTTATATTACTTATAAAGATTTTTTCCACCCTTTAAATGTGGAAGACAAGGCGAGTCTTCAGGTGATCCCAGCGCTGTTCTTACAGTCGCGTCAATGGTTTTGGAAGTCATTGGAGACGTGAATTAGAACAACAGACGCTCAGGACTGAGATAACTGGAAATGAAATGTTACATGAAATAATTTTTTTTTCCTTTAGAATCATTTAGAGTAAGCCAAAGAATGAGAACTTGGTAAAAACGAAAATCTGTTATTTTATTTTGCTTTACAACATATAAGTTGTTCTTCTATGTCATATTTAGGATTTGATTGACGACTTGAGATTAAACATTTTTATGACAAAACTTCCAAGAGAATGATATCCAAAGGACAAAATTTGCAGATGAAAAAATGAACGCTTTTATTTACTTCTGAACGCTTTAAATGAACGCTTTAAATTATCGACAGAAAGTCAATAATTTAATTCAGGGCCAGAACCCAATGGATGTAAGGATGAAATAAGTCCCTAGACACTCCTTGTTTTATTATCAACTTAATTAGATGTTGATTAGCCAACAGTATCATATATTACACTATTTTTCTGTATTAATAGGACCTTTCTTTGATTACTCGTTATAGTAATTCTACCCCGAGAGCCATAGAATAAACCGTAGCAGTTTTGAGCATCCTGGATAATTTATTTTTCTCAAAGATTGAAAAACACATATTCCATCTTTAAATATGTTAAAATGTAGAAGGATTTTTCACGCTATAGTATTCCTAAAATTTTTCATAATATTTATTTCATCATATTAAATTATAACAAGAAGAACTTATTGATGTAGATGCTTAAATATTGCGTGATCTCAAAATTGCAGATCACTATTGTGTTCAAAGGAAACAGGCTGCTTTCAGAAGACTTCAATTAGTAGTTTACTGTGTGGATAGTACTGATCATTACTGTACGGAAACGAGAGAAAGGAAATTTTGATTAAAAAACGTATGGGAAAAATTAATGTTTAGATGGAATCAAGAAAATCTTTCTTAATAGTTGAGTTTGTTGACGTTTTCTAAAATGAAAGGTGACAAAACAAGATCGTATTTTTTTTCTCTGATCACAGCTAAGGGTTGTGGTAAAATTATTTATCTTGAAAGCTATCATCTACTTTAAACCAGCTCCCCTGGTTTGACTCTGTCTCTCTGACTTTGCGAGTAACTCTCGAGAACTCCGGCTGAGAGTACCTCTTATGTTTAAACCTTAAGTACTTCTTCTTCTTCTTTGTCTACCTCTGATGCCATTCCTAGCGTCGAGGAGCCTCGATTCAACGCAGCGACGCCTCTCGGTTTCGCCCAAGCTGCCTCATCTCTTGGAGAGTTTTCCCTCTCTTCCCTCCAATCCGCTGTATGTACTCCAGGTAGGAAATTCTTGGTCGGCCTCGAGGTATCCTCCCAGTGGGTCGAGCTGCCATCACTTTCCGAGGCTCTCTTTCATCATCCATCCGACAAACGTGGCCAAACCACTTCAGTTGTCAATTCAAGCATTGTCTTAAGCTCTACCACCTCCATTTCCTCCCGTATCCGTTCATTCCTGAAATGGTCCCTTCTGGTCTTACCAACGGCCCTCCGCAGCAACTTCATCTCAGCACTCGTTCCTCGGCTGGCCTGCTTGTCCAGCATAACCCAACTTTCACTTCCGTAAGTCAGGGTTGGCAGGTATACAGACTTGAATATATGTCTTTTCGTTTCATTACTAATGTCTCCGCGTCCCGTAATAGAGTTACAGATAGGATAATAAATCTGGTTGGCTTTGGAAATCCTATTTGCTACTTCTGGGTCAATCATCCCAGTATTGCTTATGACTGTGCCCAAATTGGTGAATTCCTGCACAACCTCAAGTATCTCACCATTACATATCAGCTGGACATCTTGTTGTTCCTCTCTCGAAAGAAGTACGATCTTGCTCTTAGAGGTGTTGATTGCCATTCCTTTGCGAAGGAGCTCTTCCTGCCATTCCAGAAGAGCTTGTTGCAGTTTGTCTTTCGTATCTGCTATCAGTACGATGTCATCGGCATACAATAAGCTTTGAACCATAACATTCCTCATGTTCCATTTACCGATGACCGTCCAAGCAGTACGGCGCTTACAAATTTTATGGATTTCAGCCATAAATATGATGATTAAGAGGGGACTGAGGCTGCATCCCTGTCTCACACCTCTCTCTAAGGTTTGGACTCTCTTCCATTGATCTTCACAACCCCTTTTGCTTCTTGATAAACCGATGTAATAGCTGTGATAAGATCTCGTAGGACATTTTTTGCTTTCAAGGCATCCCATATTTCTTTTATGGGGACGGAGTCGAGCGCTACTTTGAGATCTAAGAATGCCATTTATATGTTTTTATTTCTGTCCCCAGCTTTCTCAGCGCTGCTTCTCAGTTTGAAGATGTGTTCTTGAATCTGCCTCTCTGGACGAAACCCTGCTTGTTCTTCTTCTATTTGATTCTCGACTGCGGCCCTTAGTCTCCTTTCTAGGATTGAGGTTTATAGTTTGTAAGCCACCGAAAGTAAGCGTATTGGCCTGTAATTTTCACAGACAATGGAGCTACCTTTCTTG